TAGATAGAGTGCCAGAAGATTCCACTCACAATTTGACTTTGATTGGAAAGTGGGGATTTGATGGTAGTACAGGCCAAAGTGAATACAAACAGTCTTTTTCAGATCCCTCTTGTAAAGATGACAGTAGTTTATTTGTTACATCTTATGTCCCACTTAAGTTAGTAGCAAATCGCCCTTCAGACAGTATAACAGTTTGGAAAAATCCCCGACCCTCTTCCACTAGATACTGCAGACCTATTCGTTTTCAATTTTTGAAAGAAACCTCTGAAGTATCTAAGGAAGAGGAAGCCTACTTCCGAGAAAAGATTAATAATTTGACTCCAACAACTTTTAGTTTTAATAACCGCAATTTCAGAATTCAACACTCTTTACAGTTAACTATGGTGGATGGTAAAGTGTGTACTGCTTTAAGTGAATCGTCATCCTGTAAGTGTTACATTTGTGGAGCAATTCCCAAAGAAATGAACAAAATAGACGTTTGCTTACAGAAACAACCTGATGAAAGTAGGTTTGAGTTTGGCCTATCTCCTTTACATTCATGGATTCGCTTTTTCGAATATTTTGTTCATCTTGCTTACAGGATGGATGTTAAGAAGTGGCAGGTTAGGTCGGATGATGAGAAGAGACAAGTAGCAGATAGAAAATCGTATGTACAGAATGAGTTTAGACGTAGATTAGGTTTAATAGTAGACAAACCACGAAGTGGCGGAAGCGGGACATCGAACGATGGAAATACGGCACGAAAATTTTTCTCTCATTCTGTAGTTTCAGCTGAAATTACTGGCTTAAATAAAGATTTGATTGAACGTTGTTCCACAATTTTACAAGCCTTGTCCTCGGATTTTAATATTGATTCGGATAAATTTAATGAATATTCTTTGGAAACCGCGCGACTTTTAATTCAGGAATATCTGTGGTATAATCTCCCAGCTTCCGTTCACAAAGTTCTCATTCATGGTGCTGAAGTAGCACAGTATGCTTTATTATCTATCGGGGAATTATCCGAAGAGGCAGCAGAACCTAATAACAAAAATTATAAGGCCTTCAGACGGGATCACACGAGAAAAATGTCGCGAGTACTTACGAATACGGACTTACTTAACAGACTTTTACTTAGCTCAGACCCATTCATTACTGGTCTTCGGAAATTTCCCCGTAAGAAAAAGAGCGTTATGTCAAGGCAGGTTTTAGATTTATTAAAAATTTAGTTTAAATTCAAATTAGGTTAGTTGTTGTACTTATTTAACTTAGTTGTGGTTATGATGACGTTTGTAAATATGTAAACCGTAGTTTTAGTTTTCCTGCCTTTTGTTGTACATAATATGTATAATGTATAAAAGAATACATATTTCCCCTTCATAAACAGCGTTAATATCATATTCAGATGTATTTCCGAGCGAGGGAGAATATATCTCAAATATTGACAATTTAAATGTATATTAAATAGTACATATTTTACAGTTTATTGTACATAATGTATTAAATTATGTAAATAAAGCATTAATGTACATTAGTGAAGTATTTTTTTTATTATTTACCCTTCAGAAAACATCCCATTTAACAAATTAAATAAAGTAAGATATTAATGACCGCCCTTGTAGGGCGCTTGGACCACCGTGCAATCGTTCATTAGCGGTTGCTATTGCTACATTAAATAATATTCTCTTTAATTAGTAGCAGTAGAGCTCATTGTGAAGGAGTTCGTCCAGTTTAGAAGGGTAAGGTGCTGGTGAAATTACAGGCACATGGGATTTGTCAACTTGTGTGTCAGGGTGACGAGCGCAGTGGCAGTGCCCTTAAGATCTTTGTGATTCAAACCTGAGAATGGCACTGCAAGAGTCATGGATAGGCGTGTCGCTTACTATCAGGTGCACGACTTGTTCGTCCCGTTACTTGGTATTATTAAAAAAGAATCGGGGTCATGACATTTTGATAGAACTTCACTATTTTTCTTTTACTTGCTACGAAACATCAAAGCGGATTTCGAAATGGAATTATTGTTGCATATTTGCTTTAAGAGCGATATCTTCTCGAACACAAGCCCATTTCAAATTGAAACTGTTCAGTACCGACATTAACCCAGTAATCTCATTAAGTATATTTATTTACTCGGCTTCTTCTTTGTTCGTTTAAGAATAAAATTAAATTGGATTCGTTGAGGTATACCAAACAAAGAAAAAGTACATTCGTGTAGAGATTTGTCCGCTTTTAAATACAAAAATTCACGAACAAATGTTGTGTTTAATGTGTAAAGGGTAAAGGTTAAGGTGCAAATGTGAGAATACCTGTCAGATTCTTTTATTAAGAAATTGCTTTCTAATGCATTTTCAGTGAAACAGATGGTTTGGGAAATAGCCTGGTCTCCCTACTACAAAGCATAGACGGTCTCAATAACTGATCCAAATTAATTTTCTCTTACGTATATGTGCAGGTAATGTGACTTATATAACCTACATACGTTAACATAGGAACGTGACTTTCGGAGAAACATAAATGTTTACGTGGCCTTTGAAATTAAACAATTAATTTCAAAATGAAGTGTTGTAGTTGTATAACCATCTAAGCTTTTTCCGGAGCACAATGGGATTACAAACCTTATGACGAAAGATATTGGAATCCTTAAGAAAATTAAATAAAAGATTATATTATTAAAATCACCCCTGACAAGGGCTCTAGCAACGTTCAGTATTGTAAAGTTTCAGAACATTTAATTTACTTGCCTATTGTCATGTTGTGAAGGTGGAGTAACTACCCTGCTAACATACCTACCTCTAAAACACTGATTTAAAAAAATAAAAAAGCGAAATACGTATATACCCGTCGCTTAGACATTTAAAATCGCACCTACTTTCTACTTCCTGTTCATTTTACAACATTAATGAGAGGTTATTTTCTTTGCACCTAATTAAAAACGTGACGAGTGTATTGAGCAAGTAAACCCTTAAACGATATGAAACGTTACTGAGGCGATCAGGATAGTGACAACAAGATACTCAGCGGCACATGCAGTTACGCCTTGGATAGCACGCCTATCACCGCCCTGTGAGAACAAAGTGTCTAGTGGATACAGATAATTTCCAAACCATAAATAAAATAATTATTATTGTTACCTATTCATATAACACAACAAGTACATTTATAGTACCGCATAGTTACAAGTATCTATTTTTTCCTAACTGCTGTAGACAAAGGTGTATATTTTGTACAGCTCAGAAATTAACTCAACATCGTGTATCGCAAGTAATAAAGGTATCGAGATCGCGCGTCAATTTTCCGGCTGTAAGGTAAGCCACAATGAAGACTGATTATCACGTAAGCAAGCCACGCGATAATTACGAACCCTATTACAGCTAACCATAGTCGCATAAACATAGTATAACTTAGTTTTTATCTATAAAGTTAAAGTTATGAAAATTGCTAGGTTTAACAACAAAAAGAAGATTGATTCGTAATATTATGAGTTACATTTCATAAGCAGAAAGTTACGTAATATAGTAATATCATTTTACATTTCACACGTAGCCGGATTACGAGTAGGTAAGGGTTTCAAAGAACTAGATTCAAAAGTTCTAATTGTAAAGTTTTCCTTAAATCACTTTAGATAGCAATGATATTACAAACACCGATGTGTCGTCGTTGTAGTTCTATTCACGTCCAAAGATTAGATGTTACTATTGAAAAAAAGTCGCCATTCGCATTAAAGTCAGTGTGCTCCAATTCGCTTGGCAATTTATCGTGCTTATATTTTATACTAGTCTGGAAAAAATAATATCTACAAGCTATTAAAATGCAAGGAAATCCCTTTTTCTCTAATATGATCGCAAATGTTTGCATTACTTTCAAACAACGAACACGGAAAGTTTGTCATTTATGGACTGTGCGACTTCTTCCCGGCCAAGGCCTGCAAAGTAAGTATGAAAATCCATTACTGTCCGCTGCTCTAAACTTTTAAATCTAGCTACTAACAATGAACTATGTAAAGAGGCAAAAGAAAAACTCATACAGCCAACTGCCCAGTGCGGCAGTGTATTAATACGAGTCAAGCAATCCCCGTACCCGTCAAGGCTAATATAGTGCCTTGAAACAATGTGAGGAAATAATTAAAAAACTAAAGATAGGAAGATGTACAATAGAAAATGTAAAAAAAAATTAATTATATTAAAACTAATATTTTACATGTCAGGACAAATGCAAAAAGAAATTGTTATTGTTTTTCCAGACACATTTAATAGTAGTATGCTGAACTTCTGATGATATGGTTGAATGTGTATCCATTAGGTACTGTATTTACCGTTATCGTTCTTCTTACTAGAACTCATTTTCGCGACAGAAATAAAAAAAAAAGAAAAACCAAATTACTCTAGTTTGTTTTACCACCAATTACCTACACTGCATTTAATTCTCGTAATTACGAACCCTTTGTAGTTGGCTGTATGAGGTTTTCTTTTGCGTTTTTACGTAGTTCATTATTACGAGTAGTAGGTAGATTTAAAAGTTTAGAGAAGTGGACAGCAATGGATTTTCGTACTTAATATGCAGGTCTTGGCCGGGATGTAATGGTCCATGAATGACAAACTTTCCGTGTTCGCTTTTTGAAAGTAATACAAACATTTCCGAGCATGTTTGAAAAAATATATTAACATACTCGTTTAAATAATATAATGTAACCGCAGTTTATACAAAATTACACACGTTGAAACATGCAAACTTTTCACAGTTTAATCAACTCAGGCACCTAATATAATAAACGCTTGTTATTTTGATTCTCTCCCGATCAAACAAAAGAAGTTTATGTAATAGTTAGGAATGAGTATCAATTGTACAAATTGCGGTCTAGCCAGATACTAAACTAACACGGATACACGAACATTTATATACCCACACATATAAGACTATTGAGTTAAAGTGCTAATTAGTGATTCTAATGAAGAAGGTATTAGAATGGGTACATAGTACAGTTGTTCGTGTTCTCCACTTGTTATTTTAAGACAGATACTCACAGTTGAGACCGAGGTCGTGGTAGGTGATAATGGCGGGTTTGGCGCGGTCGCCCTGCACGGCGACTAGGATGTCGCCGCGGTCGGTGCGCACGCGCGTCTCAGCGCATCCGCCCTCGCCGCTGAAGCGTCGCGCACTTGGGAATTGCAGCTGGATATTCTTCAACTCGATATCGTCCATGCTGCGAACCGGCAAACAGCATTCAAGCAACATAAGGTGTAATATACACATAATACAGCACAGAAACGCTGTACTACACTAATTAAATACGAACAATTGTGACACTTCGCGATGGATTTTAATTTCATTGCCAATATATGCACTTATAAGACAATGTTTTCTAAAATTATTCAGCGTAATAAAAAAAGTTAAAATGTGATCCACTTATAAATTCAAATCATACATAAATATATATTCCAAATTGTAACCGCTAATTAAATTTACAACATTTTAATTCTTTATTCTTTATCCCGTATTACCATATTTTATTACGACTTTACTATTTAAACTACGCCCGAGTAAAAAGGTCTTATGGATTAAGAAATTTTACAAAATCAAGATTGTAGCAAAAGTCGGTGAATCCACTATTCGTCATATAAAAGGCGAAAACAATTACACCACTTGACTTTAATGTATTTCAATGATTTTAATACGTAATTGATGTAATGGATAACTAAAAATACCTCATTTTCTTATCTTTGGTTTATTAGAATCATATAAATTCTTTGTTTTGAAAGTGTCATTTCACTTGTAACGCATCATGTCTTAGACCGTTCAATGCAATGTGTGCGTTCTGTTTGTACGTGGTTTGTGTAATACTTGGATGCTATTTCTATCATTGAATTTGCTTGCTTTTTTTTCATCATCAGACTTTTAAGATTTAGAGTGAGAAATAATCTTGTGTATTTAAGATATAAAAATCGTAATAAGCCACCAAAATCACCGCAACTCGGAATTTAAAAAAAGAAATAATATATTAGATTCGCGGGAAAAAGTGAACTTTAGGCATAAAAGCATCTGAATGGAAGAAATCATCCCCAGGAGAAAAGTAATGCTGAGATAATAATTACATTTTTCAAAATATATATCACACTCGATGCCGATTATATCGAGATTGTATTGGAAACTCAATCGGTTTTTGGTGGGTCAAACATTTTGATAAAAACCAAAATGTATATAAAGTAACTAAATTTGATAGCCTTATTAGCACAATTATTGAAATAAAGGATAACGTCAAAAGTTGGTGAATTGACATTATCATTTTCGTCCTTATCTGACTTGCTAGCAGTCAACACAAATACTCATTGAATTTTACAATTCTACGTAAATATCTATAACACGTTTGAAAAGAGCAGTGTTACAAATTCCTAACAACATTCAACAGAGTTTGTTGTTCTTTCAGTAACTTAGAGGAGTGTAAGAATAAAAAATTGTATTCTCTGGAAACGCCAAGTTACATCAATTAATCCGCTAAAACAGTGTCCAGTAATGTTCTGGCACATATTGGTATTCACGTAGGCTAAGATTTCGTAATGACCATTTAAAATTCAGAGCCAAGGGCTTTCTAATAAGTGGGGGCAAAGTCATCTACAGCCATCGACTTTCGATGGTTGTTGAATGCCACTTGCAACGTCTCCACTAGATATTTTTTACATTTACTGAGTCAGTAAATTAAAGCAAGAGTAGAGAAAGTAAAAAAAAATAACGAAACGGTTTCAATAACGTAATATGTATATTTACAAATATATAATCCATATCAAATGTGTCGTTTCATCACGCGATATTTTGTACCTACGTGAAAAATACAACTTTTACACAATAATAACGAAAATAATGCTTTCTTCTCGGTTTAATATATTTCAAGAATATAGCAGAATAACAATATAAATATGATATCGAAATAAACATTAACGCGAACTAACTAGCCAGGTGTCGCATTTTTCCTATAAATCTCTTCAAAGTAGTCAATTCTTTTCTCGAAGCCCTTTACTGGAAAAGTTTTCATCCAATTTTTACATGACCCAAAGAATTCAAATAACCGAAAAGGTCTATTCAGTCCATCAATGAACCTACGCAAACAAATGGACCGAACGTCAAGGTTAACAAAAGCCAAAAACGTTTACCGAGCTGAGAGGTCCCTTAAGATTGCGCTCCCGTTTGTCAACGCATCAAGCAGTCACCGTTTCCGACATTATCTATAGACCTTATTTGATCACACACAGACGCTACATTCTATAAACCCGTTGATACATGCTATTGAATTAAAGCTTAATAAACTAATGTTTGTCCTGTGAGCAATTTTCTTAATACAAATTAATCGAACAGACTAAAAATGCCAAATCTAAAAATACTCACTATTTTTAACCAACTTCAAAAAAAGGAGGAGGTTCTCATTTCGACTGTATACTTTTTATTTTTAATCTATGTTACGTGATACATCCGACGTTTGTGAACCGATTTTGATGATTCTTTTTTTTGTTGGAAAGAGGGGACCTCAGTAGTGGTCCAATTTAAATTTGAAGAAAATATTGCATCTCCAAGAGTTGCAAACAAAATGATGAATGACTTTTGAGGTCGGTTTTTTAGTACTCTGTACTGTCATTATATTGTACTAAGTAATACCTATACTATTTTCTTGTACTAGGTAAAGTTAATTAGTTATGTACTAATAATTAAATTTTTATTGAATTGATATTCAATTATTTTTTGTGAAATTACTCCACTAGTTTGTATTAATAATTATATGTACTAATAAGTTTCGTAGATTCAGTGTTTGGAGAATTTTTTTTTAATTTGGGATAACAACAGCCATAACACAATTTTAATCTTACCATACGTTTAGCACTTTTTGGATAGGCTAATTACAGTTATCCACTAAAAGAATTACTGACAACAAACGTATAATACTAAGAATAAAAACATAAATAAGGGTGAACAAAGTTAAATGAAATTAATCAATCGTGTCTCTGTTAAAAGAAAAACAATACAAGAAAGAAAGTGAGAGAAAAAAGATCATTAAAATAAGATAAATAGTATACACACATCAAAAAAAGTTTGCGATCACTTCGAAAAACTGAAATCTTTTTTGTTACTGTAGATTATATTATGATTTTTTCTTCTTTTTAGATTCTTTATTTAAAAACAAATTAGAACATAAAACAATGACCCCGTTCAATTGTTTTTTCATATAAAAAGGCTTTCAGTCCTAGCTTACGCTCATTCAGAAATCTGATTTAGTCAATTATAAGCGATTCAAGATATTTTTCGCGGAAAGTTGTGATTGAAAAAATGCCAAGAGGATTATCAGAGGTTTTACGAGCTAGAATAGTAACTATGAGGGAAGAAGGATACACCACGAGAGTAATAGCACGCAGACTTGCTATATCCCAATCCTGTGTCGTGGCTACGTTGCAGAGGTATCACGGAATGGGGAATTTAGCTGACCGACCCCGCAGCGGTCGCCCAACTGTTTTGACAGCTGCCCAAAAGCGCTGTATTAGATTGCTGGCAGCCCGTGATCCAACAATCAACGCCACTAAAATAAAAGCAGAAGTCAGGGCCGCCTCTGGGCTTGAAGTTAGCACGCAGACCGTTCGCAATTGCTTGCACCAGGCTGGATTACGAGCACGGAGGTCTTGGCGAGCTCCGCTCAATTCCCGGCAACGTCAACAACGAAGATTGCAGTGGGCTAGACTTCGGCAAAATGAAGAAGGTGAGGACGAAAACATTTGGCAAAACTGTCTCTTCGTTGACGAATCCCGAATCAGCACTCATCCAGATAACCGACGTGTCCGTGTCTGGAGAAGACCAGGCGACCGTGAAAGACAAAGAACTGCCACTGGAACAGTTCAGCAAGGCGGAAAATCGGTGTCCTTTTGGGGTGGCATTATGATTGGAGCTAGAACGCCTTTGATCCCGTATCGGGGCTTCATGACAGCAGACATGTACAAAGCAGTTGCTATTGATGATATCGTCAGACCATTCCGAGTAAACCATGGGCACCAATTTGTACTGGTCGATGATAATGCGCCCGCACATCGAGCTCAACGAGTCAATGCTGCTCTTCAAGAATACGATATCACACGATTAGACTGGCCTGCCGGCTCGCCCGACTTAAACCCAATAGAGCACGCGTGGGATGCTCTTAAACGAGCAGTATGGAACCGTGAGCCACGTCCCCAGACAGTTCCAGAGCTCAGGGAAGCCGCTATTGAAGAATGGGATAGGTTACCCCAGGAAATGCTGGATAACTTGATCCTCAGCATGCCCAGGAGGATCTTCGCATGTATTCGAGCCAGGGGAGGAGTTATTTTATATTGAATTCACACCTTTTAATAATAAATTGTTGTTTAAGTTTAATTAAACAGTCTTTTTCTTTCTATGAATTTTCTATCACTATTACATTATGATTAATGGCTCAATTTTTTAAAATAAATAATAAAAAATAGTTTTATATTTTAATTTCAAACAGGGTATTCCTATTTAAAGAAAGCATACAACATAGATTTTTTTCTTGATAAAGTTAAATTTAAAGAATTATAGGAGCTTATGCTATTGATCGCAAACTTTTTTTGATGTGTGTATGAATATCAATATATAATTAATACGCACAAGCATATTAATAATAAAATAATACATGTATGTACAATACACAACACTATTATGTATTAAATATAGAAGAATATAACGTTGCAAGCTACCATTTTGTGAAAATGCGAACTTTGTTGGTTTGTGCGTTGAATATATTGTGCAAATGACTTAAAGATATCTGAAGTACAACAGACTAATCGTTTAATAGTTTTAATCTAACGTTGGCTTTGAAGCTGTGTTTACAATCTACGAAAGGATCAATATGTCCAAATTTTTTGTTATACGTCCGAAAAATACGCGTGAACAGCATTCTTGTGTGTCGTATGTCTAGTGCGAGGCTAAGGTACCAGTAGCGATACACTCTCCAGTATCATCGGGCAATTCAAACGCCCACACACGATGTTCACGTAGAATACCCATGTCCAAGTATTACACGACGTTCTTCAAAAGTTATGAGACCGTAAGCACGGCAGTATTTAGGGTAATTAGTGGTAAAATGTTTACATTTATAGTTCAGGTATTTGATAATTTTTTTCTAAATATGTTCGATACGCGATTTATGATTAGCATACATGGAACTTGCGTATTCTA